GGTAAATTCTAGACATTTAAGCGAGGTTTCAAAAAATGTTTCACCTGTGCCTCTTTTTTACCCTCTTGTCCTCTATTTTTATTTTGAAAGTTGGCAACCCTAGTAATAAAAAATGTCTCTACCTATGTGGCGGATTCATCTATCCAAAAAAATCCTTTATGGGTATTTCGCCACTGCACTGCAAGAAAAATCTACAAAATGAAATAGTTATTTTTTGTAAACACTGCGTTAAACCTAAACGGACGCTGCTTGTCAGAAGTTGTGTTTACAGTTATAAAAATTTGCCTAACAAAGAAAAAAATGCTTAACGTTTCGGAAAATTTTCTCTTTTCGTCGTCGGAAGCAAAAAAATATAAAGAATAAAGAAAAAAACTATTTAAAATGTTCAAATTGAACTATTCGAGAACACTTTACGTTTTAAAACAGATACGTCTACAAGAAACCGTTGACGTTCTGTTAAAATGACATTATATTAAGTTAAACTTAAAAATTAACAATTACTACCTGATAACAATTACTTAATAAGGTAAAACCAAAAAGCCCAAACTTTCTGTATGATTATTTTTACATTTTACGTCTGTTATGTTTATTTATGTTATGTTCTTTAAAATCAAAGAAGCGATTGCCATACATTACTAACATCTACAGATACATGAGCAATACATTTATTTTTATTAGATTGAATTAAAAAAGCCTCTTTTATTTTTCTTTTAGAGGCTATCGCTTCTTTCATTATAATTTTGGCGTTATTAAAATTTATTCCGTGCCCTGTGTCCCATGAATGCTAACAAATCTTAAAGTGCGTATTCATTATCCGAACGAACGAACGAATGTTCGCTAGTGGTATGGACGGGGACCGTACGATAGACGCACGAGAAGACCGGACCATAGACCGGACGCATTTCTTGGTGAACGCCTTTGATGTACCGACTCGAAACGGATGGTCGAGCGAACGAACGAACGAACGGCCGCATGCGTTCGGTCCCCGTCTAAATATACCGCACTTTCATTCGTTCGTTCGTTCGTTCGGATAATGAATACGCACCTTTATCCGAACGAACGAACGAACGATCGAGCGAACGAATGGAATTCGGTATATTTGGACGGTGGACCGAACGCATGCGGTCGTTCGTTTGTTCGTTCGCTCGGCCATCCGTTTCGAGTCGGTACGTCAAAGGCGTTCGCAAACGAATGGGTTAAGGTGTTTTTGTTTGGTTCTAAAATCCGGTCCCGTCCATACTACTACCGAACGAACGAATGAACATTCGTTCGTTCGTTCGGATAGTGAATACGCACCTTTAGATTTGTGAAAATCTCCCTTTCTTAAATAATCTTTATGTTCTTTAATTCTAACATTTAATGGTCTAGATGTTTCACCAATGTAAAATTTAACCCTAGTAATGGCCCTTTATGTCCCTTAAGGAGGCGAGATTTGTTGATGTAAATAATAACTGTTTATATAGTTATAATTAATTTATTTTTGTTTCCTAAAATATTTCGATTAGAAGAAAATATGTAATAAAAAATATGAAAATATGGAAATTAGGGCATGTGAAGATTACAGGTACCTGGGATCGATATTTACAGGAGATGGAACGGACGATAGAGAAATAAACAACAGAGTATGGAGCACTATGGAGCACTGAAATTACAAAAAACAGGAAATATAATATATACGAGACACTAGTTAAAAGCATATTACTCTATGGATGTGAAACATGGCGACTCACTGAAAGGAATAAAAGGAAATTAGAGACAACAGAAATGGACGCGATTAGAAGAGCAATGAGAATTTCACGGAGGATAAGATCAGAAATGAAGACATTAGACAACAGATGGGAGTAGAAGGAACAATAGTAAATGATATAGAACAAAAACAATTAATATGGTACGAGAATGCACAATGAAAGAATTCCAAAACAAGTCATTCATTGGATACCACCTGGTAAACGAAAGAGAGGACGTCCCAAGAAAACATGGATGGAAGGAATAAGAAGGTCGATGAGCGAGAAAAATCTGACCGAAGATCGATGGGAAAATCGCACAGGGTGGAAGTTAGGCATCGGACAACGTCGTAAGACGTTCTGACCCGAATTTATATATATATATATATATATATATATATATATATATATATATATATATATATATATATATATAGAAAATATGTAAAAGTGGGCAACGCTCTGCCGGTCAAGCTTAATCACGTGACTATATGAATTATAGTCTGTCCAAGGAAAGGATGCCTAACAGTGACAGTTGCCTATAATAATAATTTAGAGGTAAGTTAAATTTCCAAATCCTCATAAACTTTTTTACGAGCGAGTACGCGCCAAGTCAGTGATTTCTAGGGCTTGATATCGCCAAAATTATCATCGATTGGCACCCACTAGCCGTCATTGGCATATTTTCTTCGATCGTACGGTATATAATTTAATGTATTTAAATTAAGGTTTTAAGATGCCCAAACATTACACCCAAAAAAGGGAAAATTTACATACATATAAATTTATGATATTTAATTTTTGATCCTTTTTCATGCTCGACCATTTAAATATTCCGCAATGTATACAGATAAAAACAACATTATGTAAATTTTGGGAAATATTCGCTTACCGAAAGTGAATTTCCTCACGTAGAGTTACCCTAAAACCCGTGTTAGATGTGGCTAGAAAATTAAATTCCCGAAGTCACGTCGTAACAGACATAAATATAATAATAGATTATGTTGCATTAGCAGTAACTTACTCGTATTATGTGTATACTTAATACAAAACATTTTATATAACTAATATTTAATTTTGTATAAAGTTTTGGAAAAATAAAAGCTAATATGTATGTGCGTTAAAATCTGCCTGCAAACGATTTAATTATAAAGGCGCATTTACACGAGTCTTGTCAAGTCAATTTAATTCACATGATTGCAATATGACAGTCTAAACTCGTGATAAATCATGTCAATTGTTCAGGTGAGTTGAATTAAGTCTCAGTTGATTATTGTTTAACTTTTGACATTCAAGTGATGTTGGATTGGTTGTCAAGTTTATTAATATTTATGAAAAATACGAGTGTATACAGAACACACAGAATCAGAAATACAAAATTCTTGCGTCAAAACTAACTGTCACAGTGACACGTGTCATACACGATACACGGTCAAGTTGGCCTTGGTCCGTTCATCGACATACCATATTTCATTTAAATCGGACGATTTTTTTATTTGATTCATTGATGATGGGGTTTCGTAGTGCACGAAACGTCGTCAAAATATCATGAAAAGATGGGATCAGACTTCCAACGAGTTTTATGTACGGTGGTATGGCTGTGCTCAACTTGGGAAGTTGGTAACAGATTTATTCTTCATTAATTATAATTATCTTTTAAATAATGATTTTTTTCCATAGCTACTGTTAAAATTGCTTTATATCTATCAAAAATAGTAGATAATATAGTACTTTAACAGCAAGGGTAGATTAAATAATGATACTTTAACAGCGAGAATAGGTTAAAAACTTTATTTCTTGTCGCACGATTTTTAATTGCTTCCATTTTTGAAAATTTTAGTATTCCTTTTCATGATTTATTCGGGATTTAAATGGAAGTAGTTTGGATATGGCGTTTTTCGCCTCAGCCTGAATATCTGTTGGTAATTTACTTATTTCTCGACAACGTAAGAGAATTAAAAAATATTGACTCAAAACTGACAACTAAAGAGACAGCTTTATTTATTTGTCAAATTACATAGACATCAACGCCAACACAGTAAGTACAATATAATATTTTCTACTAGTAATAAATTCCTTGAAATAATAATTTCTGAATACCTTTTAAAACGTAACTCGCTATGGAAAAAAATATTGTTTTATACACGACGATAAAATTGTATTATCGTCTCCCGAAATTAATTCAATCGCAATTTCAACTATTAGTATCACATATTGTAACACATGTCTGTTATTTCATTAGAAGTAACTGTTGACAACTATTTTTATAAATAACCTTAAATAACAGCATTTTCAGATGGAGCGGACCGTATGATGTTTTTTCAATATAGCTCATCCGAACGGAGCATACGCGACCTATGTGAAATTGTTCATATAATTGCTCGAAGTCGCGGATGGTCCGTCGCGGACGCTCCGCTTTACAACGCTTTCAGGTGGAACGGACCGTACGCGCAGAGCGTCCGCGCGGATGTTTTTTTCAATATAGCTCATTCGGACGGAGCATACGCGACCCATGTGAAATCGTTCATATAAACTCATGGTACTTGCTCGAAGTCGTGGACGGTCCGTCGCGGACGCTCCGCTCCGTCTGAAAACGCCGTTAAGCGCTGTAAAAATCGTCAAATAACAGCAAAATTATAAACTATGCCAAAAGATCTTTACACAAATTGTGGCATATAATTTCTATAATAAAAAAATTGTTTATTATGGTTAACTGTAATTCGCTATATATTCAATTAAACAGGTTTTATAAATATTTAAATGAAAATTCATAAAACAATTTATATAAACGAAAAATCTTATAATCCAGAAGTCTGTATGCGCTTTATATTTCGAATTCAGGCAGTTTCCTCACAAAAGACCACCCACTGCGGATCTGATGGTCTATTGTATACAGATTTTTGTAATAAAATGTCCTAGCACGATAGTTTTGCCTGTCAATATACAACGTCAACGTCTTCACGAACATAGAACTATTTTATAACATTTTATTTGATTTTCTCTAGATTATAGAAAAAAAATCCTTAAAATAAATTGCCGTAAAATATCGTCTGTTCGACGAAATTTTAAATATTTCCCCTATAAATAGTTGGGTATCGTCTGTCAAAATAGTCCTTTTTCTCGATCTATTCGTCTATTTCTTTTAGATATTGGTTCTAGACAGCAGGAGTGCCGGCTTTTATAAAACCTCGTGGGTGTTCGTCAGATATCAAGTTGTTGATTTTTTACATAATAATATATGAATAAAATACATTAAATATTCTTGAAGGTACTTACCAGCTTCAAAATTTTCCTTCAATCTTCGCCACTGCCTGGCCTGGTGTAACGAATACATGGTCACTACGAGAAAAAACAGGATAACAGCGAACACTGCTGATGTCAGCGCTATAGCCTGCCAATCCCAGACCAGCGTTTCAGTACTGGAAAATGGAGCCTCGGAACTGGACACTTCCAAAGCTACCGAAGCTACAGCACGGGACCTCAGCTCATCTTCATACCTAAAAGAATACATATTGTAGTGCTAATAATAATCATTATAATTAATGACATATAATTATAGGGTACAGTCTTGGTCTCGCAGCAAGACTTCAAAGTCTTGCACTTCTGAATATAGATTTTCACAAGAAGCGCTTTCTACATAGAAAATCTTTAAATAAATAGATTTTCAAATAATTTAATGGAAATCAAACTTTAAAGAAATATGTATATGTATAATATGAATGGTGAAATTTTTTAGTTTATAATATACAGGGTCGTCCGAATTAAATTTAGGAAACTTCGGCAGCATATTCTACATATAAAATTAAGTAAAAAAAGTTCGTACAAATGTATATCCTAAAATGCTTCGTTTCGGAGATACAGTGTGTAGAAGTTTTATTTTCATTACTATTTTTTCGAGACATGGCACAACTAACTGCATTTTACATGTGTACGTGTGAATTGATTAAGTAATATCGGTTGTATCGATACACAACTTACGTAAGAGTGATACATTTTTGTCCGTACCTGTATAAAACGCGGAATAGAAAATAGAGGATTGCGAGGAAACTTGGAAGCGAACCCTTTCCTATAAAATGGAATCAGTGACAAAATTTATATAATCGGCACAAAATTACAATAGTATAAAACGGGGCAATTGCAGAGTTACAAGCTTCCATGTGATTATTTACATCGATAAATTACCTTTTTCCAATTCTTGAATTAAGTTTAAATGTATTTTTCAGCCTCTAGCATTACAGCCAACATAAAAAGTTGCTAGATTTAGATAGATATACAAAGGTATGAGCGTAACACATGGTCATTAATTTTATTATTTAATGACTGGTACTGTTATGCCTTTCATCGTGCCTTACATCAATCTACTATATCCTAAGTAAGCAGATGTTTCAACAGTTTTTGCTTTAATGGTAATTACCTCTTCTGCACAGAGAGAAAATCTATACCGATTCAATATGGCTTAGTTCAGTCAAAGTTTACTAAATAAAATATAAGTTCCGTCACTTGTGCCGGCGGCAGGTATCAAAGCCGCTTCACGCACGTGTTTCCCAGTGTATTACTGGTGTGTGGACTTTGGACCCAGCATACGGCGGATCACGTTTGAAATTCGAGGTACGAGCATTGGTATCTCAAAAACCGTAATAGATACGAAGATGGTTAAATTAGGCAAAGTTGCGTCTTGGGCTGTTCACCAAGATGCCATCAAAAAAGTTTTAAAAATTTCAAGGATTGCTGAGTTTTTTGGAAAAAACGGATTTTTTTGAAAACTAATTTTATTTTTTCCTGTCGTTACTTTTTAGAAAATCAAAAAACTAATTGCACATTCTCATAGCCACTTTATTAGGGCTATCTGATAGTATTTTTAGATTTTCAAATTAGCTGATAATTTGTGAGATACAGAGGCCAAGTTAATTTTTTTAAATACGGACCTGCATTTTTTATTTCGGATTTTGAAAGAACTCAGTCTCCTGAGTACAATGATATGCCACACTTTATACTTTTTTTTGTTTTGGGTACCTTAACAGCAACAAAATTATTTAATTATAATTTAAAAAAAATTCAAGTCCGACTCTGTTTTTTAAATTATTTAATCTGATTATATTTATCGCAACAATATTGATCAGTGCTAATTAACATTGAATAAGGAAAAATTGAGCCAATTGAAAGATTCAAATAAATAATATCCAGATCGGCAATTTAAAGATATTATTTTTAACTTTTCTTATTGTGAATTTGAAATTCTCAGTGTACAATCTAATAATTTGCATAATATTAATTGTAGTTATTATGAATAAATTAACTTCTACAAACTAGTTTCTAATGCTTTACATAGTCTACATGTTCGAAAGGGTTACCAGTCTCCCTATTGCACAAATTTATTTTTCGTTCAATTTTATTTATAGCTTTTGAATAGATCTTCTTATACTTTCGAATGCATTTTGTACCGTTTATTGTAACTGCCGAGATGTGTTGATTTTACTTTTTTGTTAAAATTTGGACCTGTCGAATTACTTGACGTCATCAGACGGTCCAGGTACCTTGCTGGCCATTATACTGCTCTACCATTTCCAATCCATCTTCCGGGGAAATGAGTTGATTGTTTATATTACATTTAATTTATATTATGTTTATATTTCATTTTATTTATTATTTTATTGCATTTGATTTTCCGTATCCAACCTACGTCACTGTTAAGTTTGAAAGCTTATCAATATTGTAACGATGAATATATCAAATATTAAAAAAAAATCAGAGCCAGACTTGAAATTTGTTTAAATAAATTGTGTCCTAATTTCCAAAACAAAAAAAATAAGTGTGGCATATCATTGTACTCGAGAGAGCGACTTCTTTCAAAATCTGAAATAAACAATGCAGGCCCGTATTTAAAAAAATTAAGTTTGCCTCTGTATCTCACAAATTATCAGCTGATTTGAAAATCTAAAAACACTATCAGATAGCCCTAATAAAGTGGCTATGAGAATGTGCAATTAGTTTTTTGATTTTCTAAAAAGTATCGACAGGAGAAAATAAAATTGATTTTCAAAAATATCCGTTTTTTCCAAAAAACTCAGCAATCTTTGAAATTTTTAAAACTTTTTTAATGACACCTTTGTGAACATCCCAAAGCGCAACTTTGCCCCAATTTAACCATGTTCGTATCTATTACGGTTACCGAGTTACCAATGCTCGTACCTCGAATTTGTAGCACCCTGTATACAGTGTGTCAAAAAACATGTGCCATCTCTCGGTGGGGAGATTCCTCTCCTAAAAATAAGATTTATATTACATATCAACATAGGTCCGATTCTGCTTTGTTCTGTAGTTACAGGGTATTAAAGTCTTAATATTTCTTCGATTTATTGTTGTACTTTTCTTCCAAGTCCTTAGGATAAAAGTTACTATAAATGTGACATATTTTAAAGTTTAAAAAATGTCGACATATTCACCAAGTTCGTGCATATGGGTTAACACTGGAATATTTTTCTAAAAAAAGCATGTACGCCACTGACTGATATACACTGATAGTGTAAACAGTTTAATGCTTACACTATTTCGATGATTATAGGATTGTCAATTGATATTTTTTCGATTTCGGTCTCCTTGATGAGATAAACGCAACTTTATTAATTACTAGTTGAAGCCTGGCGCATCCGCCACGACGACATCAGGAAAAAAATACTTTTTATTTTTTGTTTAATTAAATGAAAAACAAAAAATCCGGCGACGAGAGTTTTAAGAAGAGCCAATTAGCTATCTTTTAGTAAAAAAAGCAACTTTCTAGAGCAAGTCGTTACTTCAATAGAGACGACACAGATAAACATTAGCATTTTATATATGTATGTAGATTCTTGGTCCAAGTCTAATAACAACTTTTCAAAACTATTAATAGCATTATCTTGAGAAAGTTTTAAATAAGTACACATTGATTCCTCGTCAAAAAAAATGAAAAAAAGTTCCTAGAAACTTAGGTGTGGAAATGCATAATTTTAGAATTACAAAATGTTAAAACTTTATAAAATTAGCTTGGTTTTTGTAATTATGTTAAATACCATTATTTTTATTTGAAATAGTTGTAGATTGGATTAATAGTAATAATGACTAATACTAATACTACTTAATAATAAATTAGGTAAAATATATAATTTATTACTTTTATTTTAATTTTATTAATTGTGATTAATCAAATTGTATTTATCTCATCAAGGAGGACGAATTCGACAAAATATCAAGAGATAACTTTTAATTGGCATTAAACGGCCTACACAATTTTGGTATCAAAAAAAGTCAGTGGCGCACATGTTTTTTTTAATATTCCAGTGGTAACCCATATGCACGTCCCTGATAAATTTATCGACACTTTTTAGTATTAAAATTAGCACTTATAGTACTAGTACTTTTAGCCTCAAAATTTCATTCAAATCTCTAAAAGTACTTGGAAGAAAATTATAATAAATCAGAGAAAAATATTAAGACCCTGTAGTTACGAAACCAAGCAGAATCGGAACTATGTTGATATGAAAAATAAATCTTATTTTTACGTGATTTTGAATCATCCCACGAGAAATTACACATGTTTTTTGAAACTTCTTGTATAAGCATCGTACAATATACACTAATCGCTGTAAAGATATTTTAACAATTCTAACTACATTCTACATGCGTACGTGTGAATTGATTAAGTAATATCGGTTGTATTGATACATAACTTACATAAACAAATCATAACATTCTAGACAAATAATAAGGCCAGCATTCAGTACATGTCATCAGAATTTGTGTGGTAAGATGTTTATCACCTTTAAATGCTCATGGCGATTTATATGATCTCATACGCTTGCAATCAGCGATTAACCTTCTAGGCTGTATACTATTCTTTAGAACCGATTGGGCATCACACGATTTGGACATCACACGATTTGGACATCTACTAACAAACCAGAAAAAGACACGAATAACATTAGACGATCAAATCAATTTTTCCAAAGCTCCTTGATTAAAAATTAATGGTTTTAATACATCCATGGTACTCTAAATTGAAATTAAAAAAATATTTTTTTCGTCATTCTATTCAGAATGTCATTTTCTATCATACAAACTAAGAAAAAACCGAAGGTACCATGTAAAATTCAATAGTATATTACATACCGAAAATGTTTTATTACTGTCGAGAGATTAACTAAATCTCGAGACAATAATGAAAACTGTCCTCCGAGGTTTGTTAACTATTTTATTTACAACCACATCATTAATAAAAAAATAGTTATTATTCTTAAAAAGGTCCGATTAAATTTATATCTCCGAAACTGAAGTTCCAAGAAAAGTCGTAATATATCTACAAATTCATTTACCCACTAGTAGATATAAAAAGCATTTTTGGTAAACTTTGTCTTAAATAGTTTCTGAAAAATAAAATTAATTTTCTTAAAAAGGTCCGATTAAATTAATATCTCCGAAACTAAAGTTCCAAGAAAAGTCGTAATATATCTACAAATTCATTTAC